ATTCAGAAATCATACTAATATGCTGATTTGCTGCTCAAGAAACATTTCTTATTATTATCAATGTTGAAAATAGTTGTCTTAATATTTCTGTGGAAACAATAGCCCCTTTAACATAGTAATACTAGTAAATTAGCCGTAAAATTACTGGAACGACTTCACCGGTAAATACAAAAATGTGCTGTTCACACAAGCAACGACGTTCCGTCTTTTTACCGGTAAAGCACCATTAACACATCAGTTTCAAAATACTGGTAAATTCTGTGACTTCATTAACCAGAAATTACCTCTAAACGGCTGCGCCTCCCGGTGTTGTGTTTGTAAACATGGAGAGGAAAACATGGAACTACACAGTGCGAAAAATAAAAGCAAGTGTGAGCTCGTACTTGCTCATACCGGTAATGTTCATTCTACGATCACACAGAGTAGATTAACGGTAATTTACTTGTGGTGTTACAACTTTCCTTACTGGTAAATTGCCGGAACGGATTTACCGGTATTTTTGAAAATTTCCTCTTCACACATGATTAATGCTTAATGCTAATTTACCGGTAATTTAAAAAAGTAATCAAGCACACGCACACCATCCGAGGTGCAGGTTAGAAGATACCAAATCTGTGTAGAGAGGATATATAACCGCACACACACTTACAAATAAACTGCTTTATTTAATTAACCAACGTTTTGGCAATAAGCCTTTGTCAAGGTAATTGACAAGGTAATTTACCAGTAAAGACTTTGTGTGAAAGGGGCTAATAATACATTTTCCAGGATTCTTTGATGGATAAAAAGATCAAAAGAACAGGAATTGAAATCTTTTGTCTCATTATAAATGTCTTTATTGTCTCATCTGAAATTTTATGTTTCTGTGCTGAATAAAAAAAAAATACCAACCCCAAATTTTTGAAAGGTATAAATAAATAAATAATTTGTGTAAAGTATATAAACATACTTTACATACATGTATGTACAGTGCTTTGCGAAAGTATTCATATCCCTCCATTTTTTTCACATTTTGTTATGTTGCTGCTTTATGATAAACTTCTTGAAAGGGGTCATCGGATGCCCATTTTCCACAAGCTTATATGATTCTTTAGGGTCTTAATGAAAAGTCTATAACATACTTTGGTTAAAATTTCTCAATGGTAGTGTAAAAAACACCCTTTTTACCATGTACTTCAGCCGCGAAACTTGCTAACTAGCACATATTAGGAAAGGCGATTTGCAAAGATTCATAAAAAAACCCTTATACGAACTTCTTCTGTAGATGAAGCTGGATCATGAATGATTCACGAGAACTTAAACGCATTTAGGCAGATCGGGGATCAGCGCATTCCTTTCAAAAATGAAAGTAACATTAATCCTCTGCGTCTTCAGCGGCTCAGATGTCGGGAGTAAATGACGACTGGTATGTTCATTATTACATCCAGCTACAAAACACCTCAACCGCTTAATTGAAGGCATTCTTCCCCTGCACTGGAGTCGACACAATGGCAGACAGCTCTCAGCTCACTCAGGGCAGGTCTAAGTGAAGACGGCCTTGTCAATCAACTATCGTGGGAGGGGCCTGTGCAGAACTACGTCATTCTGACAGGAATCTCAGAACAGCCTGATTTGAGAAAGGGGATTTGAAAATAGCGATTTAAAAAAAAAACACTGGGTGGATTTTTATCATTATAGGGTGGATGTGTACACACACTTCCAACACACATTTATGTTCAAACAACAACAAAAGTGAATTTGAACTTTACAATTATGGTGTATGGAGTGTAGATTGTTGTGAAAAAAAAAACTAATTTAAAGCAGTTTAACATAAGGCAGCAACAAAACAAAATGTGAAAAAAATGGATACATTCGCAAAGGGATACATTCGCAAGACACTGTATGTATATATACAGTATATATGTGTGTGTGTGTGAATATTATTATTATTATTATTTTCATTTTGGAACAATATTTGTGGCTGAACTATTTGTTTACATAGCATTTTGCTCTACATTTTATGATGTCTTTAGTTCAAGTAGTATTATTGAAGATCAGTAGCATTGACAGCTCTGTGGTAACTTGATCTTTCTGAATTAGTTCTGGCTTGAATTCTTGGAAAATGAACTGCTGTTTGGTCTTCAAAAGTAGGGCTCCAAAAGTAGCTCTCACCCGTATCAGTGTGAAACATGTAGAAACATAATTGAACCTGATTTCAACAGCTAGTCCACACATCACTGGACATTTTAATAATGTACCTATAGCAACAGTGCTCTGGTTATTAGAGTTTAAGCTTTTTATTACTTCCCTTCTGTAGTTACCAAGGGCACTCTGATGAAGTTGGCTGTTACGTGGCTCCACGCCCCTTATCAAAGGGAAACTGTTACTTCGAGGTAAGCAGCACACCTATGTTGTCAGGTTGCTAAAAACATTAGAATCATTTCAACACCCTTTCTGTTGCCTTTGTTAGGAAATCCATTCACCTAAGTACTAATAACTTTATGTAACTGTATGCACAGAGTTATCAAGTCAAGTGATTTCACCTATTTTTACTTAGTGTGATTTGGTAGATGTCCTATATTGTATGCCTCAATCACACAATACACAGTATATATATAAAAACAATTTTTTTTATGTTTTTAATTTTCCACAATGTTTGACTTGTGTCTTGTCTTTGACTATCCTTCATTTCACAGCAGTTTGAACTAATAAGCATGCCATGTCATTTTTTTTTGGAAAGAAAATGGACTTTCAGAAGTGAATGCTGTTTGAAAACTTAAATCAAGATCTTTTATGACACGTCATTTTGTCCCTGTATTTTTGTTACTGGCTATTGTAAATCCCTATTCAGACAGGATTAGTTTTCTAAAAGGTATTTGATAATTATTAACATAGAATGATTTCATGATCTGATTTAGACCGCATTGTGCTGAATGAGTTAAAAACCACTATCATTGGCCGAAAATATATGGCGCGCCGCACCACCCAGCAGTGTTCAATGTGCAGGTTTCACTCTCTAACCGTCGTCACTGCGCAGTGTGATGCTTTGCTCAATATTCCGCTCTATGAATGTTCGTTCCGTTGAGTTGCTCACTGCCCATGCAAACGCTTCACTGCTCATGCTTACCGGAAAAGCAAAGTCCAAATAATGCACTGACAGGAAATTTCTATGTAGTATACTTGTTCCAGTTTGCAATAGCACTACTGTGCTGTAACATTACAACGCTGGTAAAATGACGCTACCCTCTCGTTCACTGATCTGCTCCCCACTATGCACTACTCACATTAGTGTTGGGCGATATGGTCATTTTTCAAATCGTCATATCGCCAGCCTGTGAGATCGCCGATAGACGATATTATCGTGCATGGGTGGGGGCAGTCCGATATATCGGGCCGATATATCGGACTTGGCGATATATCGGTCGACCACTACTCCAAATATATGAACTTACCTGTTTTAAATATGTTTATATCCTTCTCCATCGGCCGATAAGTTTTTCTGTTTGGCCGATGCGTTCGAGGCTAACTGTCGCGTTCACTGATCTGCTCCCCACTATGCACTACTCACATTAGTGTTGGGCGATATGGTCATTTTTCAAATCGTCATATCGCCAGCCTGTGAGATCGCCGATAGACGATATTATCGTGCATGGGTGGGGGCAAGAGGGAGATTCTCTGTACTTCTCATAGGCTATTTCATAACTATGTGGTGTTTTAAACCACGCGGGCGCGCAAGAGAGAGCCTATGAAAGCACCAATGATCGAAATAATATACTTTCAAACATACTGATAAACTAACATGTTA